CGGTAGATTGAAGGGTTTTGTTTGGCTAGCTTCGGACTGAAACATTTTTGGCAACTTGCCTGCAAATCGTCCTTATTTCACGTTTTTAGGGCAAGCTTGAACTTCCTTTAAAAATCAACGTGTTTCTGAATAGATTTGGAAATTTTGCAGCTTATTAAGACACTCTACAGAGCGGTAGATTGAAGAGTTTTGTTTGGCTAGCTTCAAACTGAAACATTTTTGGCAAATTGCCGGCAAATCGTCTTTATTGCACGTTTTGAGGACAAGTTTTACATTGTCCGAAAAACCAATTTTCCTCTCAGTAAATTTGTAAGTTTTACAATTTATTCATACCCGTCTTGCGGATACATTCATCTGCTAGCAACATTCTGAAAAACTCCCGATTCTCTTCTAGTAAAACTATCCGGAAACCGGCCAAAATCCTAAAGAAATCTAATTAAAATATCCCGAACATTCCACTTATTTTCGCAACGACTTCCATCCGCTAGATTTGCCTAATTTCCATTGCTAAATAACGTCCAGCCGGAAGTGATGCATGAATATGCAATGCAATGATTGATCTAAATGGCCGGAATTTCCCTTACAAATTTCCTTTGTAAATGGCTCACGTGACATCCGAACGAAACCGGGATGCTTGTTGCTCTTATTAACATAAATAGGGAAACTTTGCTTGTTACCGCTCAGCTACACAGCATTTGGCTGGCTATTAGCTAAGCCATAGAATGGCGGGGTAAGTTTTCAACTAAGTATTGAGCTCAAATTGTTTAAGAGGATATTAATTTTCAATTTTAAGGGTTTAGAGAGTGCGATTAGAATGACTAGTTAGTGATGATTTACTGCTGAATCCAACGGGAAATTGCTGCAGATTTTGGCAGTTTTGAGGGCTTAAAATGCATTGTGCAGCAAATGCAATCCTTCGATATTCAGCTGAAAGCTGAAGAATTGCAATTTTGCGGACAAATTCCCAGTGGGCAGCCAGTGTAGTCGGAAACAAATCCCATATCTTCGCACAGTGGTTTTGCTTCATTTTTAATGTATTAACCGTCGCTCTTGTCTAGTCCAAGTTGACGGAAAGTTTTTTCCCAAGCGGAAATACACCCCGGAGTGCCCTCAACCGTCCGGAACTTGTTCTCCGGAGATTTCGAAAGTTTATACTCCAGTTTTTACCACTGACTGTGAACAACATCTGCCAACTGTGCAAACTTTCTCTGACTAGCTCATATAAAATGCACATCAATTGCAACCGGGCCCGTCAGATCGTGAAATGTTCCCGGAAAAATCTGCAAAACTTTCCGCTTTGATAGATCGATCTCGGGCTTGCCAGTTACAAGTAATTGGAATCATTGCGAACCAGAGTTTTCATTCAGATTTTTTACCCGGAATTATCCTGCATTTTACATGGATCGACGTTCTCTAACTGGTTATTTGATATTCAACTAACTACCAAGCTGCTCTGACTGCTCTACAACCTAGATAGAGCATGGAACTTTATTGCAGCGAAAAGCCGATAACCTCACCAGTTTCAACCAATTACCGCGAAAGCTTAACGGTTTTGATAGAAAATTTAATCAATCTTTAACTTCAGTTAAAATATTTTTAAATCAAGTCTCAAAAACCAAATAATTTAAGCGCCAAAGGTGTCAACTTGGAACGTAGCGACGCTTGGACCATCGTGCATCTCTCTCGGACTCTGATGGGCGTGAGTGAGATTACCGCTGCCCGATACGTTCCAGAATGGAAAATCAGTTTCATGCAATTGATTTAAGTTAGAGACTTTTCTTCCGAGTTTGATCGTCTGAAGCATGCAGGTGCTAACTATGTGTGCTTGCACAACGTCAGGACGGCCCAATAATATAAGAATCTTTAGTTTTTCGGTTGTTCACACATCCAGAGTTTTGCAGGGAAAATTTACAAATCAAATGGTTTGTGAGTGAATGCAGTTACCATCCTTCATCATATAGAGTTACAAAAATTACAAATGTACAGAGCGTCGAAAAAATGGATTTCAACAGAAAAAGTGTTTTGAACCGAAATGTTCCTTGCATGAAAACTCATCTTCAACAGTTCAGTTTGTATATTAAAACCGTTCGATAGATCAGTCAACGACCGAAACACTCGAATGATATAAAAACGAAAACTTTCTCATCCTCAAAGTTTCACCGCAACAGACACCCAATGAGAAAACTCATCTACAAATGGCGGAGAAAAATAAGTCAAAGAAAGAGCAACTTACGCTTGTCCTCGAAAGTGAATTGTCCAATAAATCCCAGTGAGTTGTTAGTTCTTGATCCCGAGTGAAACTCTAAAACTAGTGCCGGACCGGAGGAATAAATTACGGTGGGAAGATCGGCTATATTGCCACAGTATACGCTTTCCCAAGGCGTATATTCGTTTATTCGGGCAGAGTCTAGGTGCACAAACACTTTCACGTAATCTCCTCGCAGGCAGCTGAAACAAAGATAAATACGGTAAAGTTCAACATAATTAAATCCTCTAGTTCGGCTATTATAAATCAGCAATATTGATTTCAATAAAACTAACTAGAAATTAGTTCATCCAGCGTTTCCCTTCAAGTTTCAGATGGTGAAAATCACTCATAGTGTTTGAAATGGGAAATTTTCCAGAAACTTTCGGGCCCTTGAAAGTATACATTTTTAGCGTCACATAGAGCGCTTCTTATGCGGCTTCTGGATTAGGTTACAGCGAGGAAACTGCATGGTTTACTATTCCGTTAAAAGTGCTTTTTCCTCACAACAGCTTAGATAAAGTGGATCCCACAACATCCTAAGAGCGTGTTTAAAGAAATTTACGACAATGTTTCTTCTAAGCAACTTCGGGTTTGGATGTTTCTTGCTTTGAAGAAGAACTAGTAACTTCTCCAGAACAATGCATTTTTGTATAACATGCGACGAATAAAGCAGGTTCACTGGAAAGCCATAAACAATATTTTCCAATACCTCGGCATGTTGCGAGTGGATTCAACTTTTCCACGTTTCTCTTGCTTATGTTCAGTAGGTTATTTATTTGCATGCAAAGTTTTCCTAGAAGGAATTGAAATTGATGGTGCGGACAAAGTTTGCAAACTGCGCTTTTTTCTCAGATTTTTAGCGCCGCAAAAAGGTAAAAGTTGGCGGAAAAATCTGCAATATAAAGTGCATCTTACAAAACAAAATTTTAATGGGTTTAAGTCACGAAATTGATTAGTAAAATGGAGATGCGTATTTCAGGAGCGAAAAATATGCCTGTAAAATGGGTCAGGAAATGCCTGATGACGATAATCTAAGGTCGAAAGTTTTACCCGCTGGAAGGAAAAAGCTCGCAATTGTAAAATTGATAACGTTGGATAAATCTGAAATTTGAAGTTTTCAAAGGTTTGCTTTGTGCTCTTTTGCGTTAGGTCAGGAATTTTCAACCGAGCTTGCCTAAAATTTCCTTTAATTTCCCAAAATTTCCCGGAATTTAATAAGGCACTTTTCTGAATTTAACCAAAACCCAAATGCAATTTCGAAAAAATAATGTAGGCATTAAACAACGAGGAAAATTACATCGTTGGAAATTGCGCCTCTTCGAACACTATTTTCTTAGAAGTGCCTCCAAATTGAATTTCGCTTGCTATCGGTTGAAATATTCCAGATCAAATGGCAACACATGAAATAAACTCAATAATTTCAGCCACAACATTTGGCGTGAAAATCGCTGGTGAATCGCAATGTTGAGCTTTGTTTTAAAACTTATTCCCCAACGGTTTCCCAAAGAATCCTGCTGGAAAATCATCTGCTACTCAAGAAAATTTCCTTGCCCTTGGCCCAATTTATCGCAAAAACTCCAGATGATCTCAGAGCTTTGCTCATTGCAACACCACTAGATTTGGAGTTGGCAGGTTGAGAATTTCAGCAACTTTCCGATATGGGAAAGTTCTCATAAAAATGGAACGCTTATTGCCGATGCCCATAATACTGTTCGCCAGCACGTAATATAAAAGTTCTTATAGCTCATAAAGTTTCTTCAATACCTTAGAGTAGCAATATATAAGTTTAATATTTTCATCATGCCACAATAACCTTTCTATCCCTGGAAATGGGCTCTTAAAATGTTATTACCTAGCAAGTGTTTTTGCCGTATCGGGGCGTTTTGAAAGTGAGCCAATATGTAGTTGTTCGGAAAATTTATGTAAACTATGACTATTTCGGGTTGAAATTGCGACCTTTAATGTGTGCCAAACGCTCTAAATAAGAGCTAAAGGAAAATTAATTTCGGGGCGATTGTACAGGAAACTGGATCTTGTTTGACTTGGTCTATGGGCTTTGTGCTTAACTGAACTGCGACGCCCTCACTGTATACCACAAAGGTTAATTTCAAATTGCATTGTTCGATTAGAGGTTCCGGTTTCGGCTTGATCAAGGGACCTGTTTGCTGGGATGCTACATAGAATAATAACAGAAGCCCGCAATTCAGTTAATTTCCACACTTCCCAAAAACTTGCCCGCATACATATTTTTTGAGCTGCAAAACAGCTGTTTAACATATTCCACCTTCAGGCAACTGAAAGTTTAATGCCAACTCATCATCCTATTATTAAATATAGAAGCATCGCATTAAAGTTTTTATGGACGAAGAAGTTTTCCTGGTCATTAATTTTAACCTTCTTTATCTGGAAGTTTTACAAGAATTTGAGCGACTAAAGAACGGCTCGACATCTCGAATATGCTTTGATAAACTCCACGAAAACATTGAAAAGTTTTATGACTTGAGGTGAATTATTATGAAGTTTTAGGGCGCAAGGTTTCGCGAATTTAATGTCCTGCAAGTTATACGAATACGGATTAATAGAGCCCACAATTCGGGGCGGATTTGTCAGGAAATGTTCAAAATGTTAAACTGTTTGGATTATTCTGTTTCCAAGTTTTCGCCCGTTTGGTTTTCCGTCCTAATTTCAAGGGTTTTAAAATGAAAGTTTAACTTTTTTTTTTATTTGAGGAAATAAAGTCAATTCAAAATCGGTCTTTTCTCCAAAAAAGCTTGTTTGAAACATTCCGTTCTCTTAATGCGGAAGAGCTAAATGGTTCAGTTGTTGGCACATTAGAAGCAAAATTCGCTTTCGTTTTTAATGAAGAAAACTCATAACTTTTGTTCCCCAAAAAATTAATCAAATTACAAAATTTCGTACGCTTATTGCGGAAGAACCAGACAGTTGAGTTTTCAGAACAGGAACAGAATAAGGAAAATCTGCTTCATCTCCTGATGCGCAGAAAAGTGTCCTATTAAAGTTGCTAAAATTTTCTAAAAATTCAGTCGCTCATTGTGACCGTATGGCATTTCGGCAACGTTTGCTTGAAAAATTCCGTGCTCTTAATGCGGAAGAGCTAGAAAATTGGGTTTTTGCAGTACGATACAGAATAATTGTTTCTGTTTGTACTGGAAAAAGCGAGTTATTATCTCCTGCGCAACTTTTAAAAAAGGTTTTAAATCTGGGGTATAACTTTAGGAGGGTTGCATTCCTGCAAGCTCGGTTTGAAAAATGCCGCATTGCAAAGACGGAAGGCCTGGAGGCTTGAGTTTTTCCAGATGAATAGAGAAAAGGTGTGCCTGTATATATTGAAAAGTTGACTTTGTTTCTGGGTCAATTTTGCAAAGTTTCCTAATTCCAAAAGTGTATCGCCAACGACTGGAACTTTTCCGTAAGGAAAAAGGAAATTTGATAACGCAACTTACGTGTTTCAGACTTTTTAGAAAATAAAAAAATATAGATTGTATTCGGACATTGGAATATTCCAGTAAACGCATATTAAGGAGCTTCTTAGGTCAATAGCAACGGCTTAAGCTCAGAAAACACGCAAATAAACATTTTTGGTCTAATTAAATAGGGCAAAATTGGTGGTCAATCGCAATCAATGTCTATTTCATCAACGAATAATTCGCTTTTTGGACTTTTAGAATTAAAAAAATCCTGATATAAAATGTAAAATGTTATTTCAAATCATACTTGTGCTGATGATAATTTAACAAAGCTCATTTCCCGGGTTTCAGGTAACGAAATCCAATTTTCTGTATGAAAATAACGTCTAAACAAGGTGTATACACGCATTTACAGACACATCAAACTGCTGACAAACTAATAATCAGCGAGATTACTTCAGCGAAAACCTGTCGGGTTCGGAAGCATGTTCATTAATTCCAGCTTACTGGTCTGTGACTCCCTCAATGCCCAAGTGCGAAAAGACTGGCATTAACTTAATTGGAACTTTACCGAATCCATCTAGCAAATTAAGACGACTAATTACTTTTACTACCTGGTTTTATGTCTTGGTCTGCCGGCATCTTGTATCTCATTTGGCAAGATTGATGTGTCATTTTTCTCCGTCCCTGCTTTCCTTCCGTTCTCAACATTTCTGATTGATCCAAAGAGGAAATGTATCCCGCTTTTACGAGGCGAATGTAAAATCTCAATAACGCTCTCTAAGAGATAGAGACGCAATTGTCAGCGTTTGATGGCTCTTCCGCAATAAAGCTCTTCGGAACCGAGGCCGATAGTGATTTTACTGGGCCCCGCCGATTTAAAATGACATTTAAAAGACGGAAAATAAACATGATTATTTTCGTTTCGCAATTGCCGCTGACAAAATAAAGATATTTGCTTTTCCAAACGCTCCACAATTTGCAGAACCGACTGCATCGGCTGCATAATAATTTCTACCTCGTTGATAGTTTAGCACAACAGCATTTTAACACGGTTATCTCAACGTCAAAATATTTACCCAGTTGCAAATTTATTACAGCCCAAACTTACGAACTTTCTATACACAAGTCAGATGCACAACATTCGAGAGCGCGGGCAACTTCTTAAGCACTAAACTGCTAATCTTATTAGGCTGTTTTGCTACAGCCTCATTGTCAACGTGAACAATAGTGAAAGCTCCAATTTATGGAAACTTTTCGCATCTCTAATTGACTGTTCACCATCTAGCTCACGTCCTATTGAATATTTCAAAGACACTTCATTATTTCATTGCGGTTTTCGCGTGTAGATAACAACGTGAGACCAGTTTTAGATTCATCAAACTGAAAACCTAATGCTTAAGGGCTTTTTTATTTATACATACATTTTCTCATAAAAAAATGGGCAAAAACGAAGGATTTAATATTTTTGATGCTGCGCCTTACAAGTGTTTTTGATGTTGAACAAATCTTCATTGAAGTGGTCAAAGTAAACGAAACCGATTTCCGATTCTGGAACGTAACAGGCATCGGTAGTCTCACTCGCACACATGGGAGTCTAAGGGCGATCTCCCACTCCCATGCAATGCTACGTTCGAACTTGGCACCTTCAGCGCTTAAAATATTTCAGTTGTTGCACGCTTTATTAGACTAAAGCCAATACTCATTTTACGAGGCTCAAGTTACCAAAAGTAGTAGTTGATTCTCTTCGTTTTCCCTCATTTAAAAAATGTATTCGCTTGCGAAACTGGGAAAAATTTCCATTCATACCTACTTTGCTGCTGGACAGAAAAGCCATTTCCGCTCAACGTTTATTCCTCTTGCACAGTTTGCCTTTATCGCTTTTAAGACTTTTACAAACCAACAACTCTAAAACTGCAATCTTGAGCTTTTGCACCGCTCATGAACTTTATTAGGATGCTCTTTTCCACTTTATAACGGCAGCAAACAGTGCTAGTGCGGAAATCGTTCCATGTAACTGTTCTGCACTAAACTATGCCGTTGCTTTCGCGATTGTTCAGCGATTATATGCTTTTGTTCGATCCACATTCAATTCGCTGCTTTACCCGGAAAATGGCCCTGTCTGTTTGGACATATTCAGCCATTCAATTACCCGACTTGTTTATAATTTAGCAAATTCATTTGCATGCCAAAGTATTAAGGTTGCTTTGCAAAAATTCGTCTTCAAACGGTGAACAGCTCTAACGAGTTGCGGAATACATTAAAAAGGTCGAGACCCTAATTGACGAAGTTTTTAGAAGTTTGTTCTAACGTTTTTAGGCCCTTAATTCAATATCTGTCGTTGGAAAAGCGTTCATTTATCAAATCATTATCCAGCCAATTTTCTTTCCTTTTCCCTCCAAAGTTCCTTGAAGGCGAGAAATAAATCTATTGCCTACCCGGAAAATAATCTGAAATTTTGCAGCTAAAATAAACTCTGTCAACTCAATTGTTTGAAAATTTTCAGAGTATCCATGTGAACATCGGGTTTTCAAATCAGCAGCCAGTGAACGAATTCGCTGGGAATCGATTGATTGAACGTACGAACCGCGGACATTAAAATTTAATCTTATAGAGAACGCTCATTAAATAGTTAGTCTGTTGGAACCGGTTGAAAATGTCAGCATCCGAATCGTAGTTTAATGCCATTAATATTCATTATTTTGTCTTAAACGTCTAATTTCCTATTTTAATTTAATCGCAGCCTAAAGTTAAGTTTGAATTCTATTAATCTCCCGTTTGTTCTTTCGGGCTACACTAACCGATTAAAAGCTCCTTTACGTCCCAGCCTGATTAATCTGGGTGGATGAGATTGAATTTTCTTTATGAAATGTACTTGAAAAATTCATTTAACATAATCGTCCGGGACAAATTAAGTGGAATCCAGATTTTTGTACACAAATCGCTGCAAATTAACATCGTATGATTGCGAATAGTTCATGCAGATCAACCTGTGTATTTATGCAGCAGATGCAAATAGCAAACAAGTAAAGTGCATTTAATTTTCATTTGCCAATGTTTAGTGATTGCTGATGTTTCAGTAATTGTGTTCCCATGCCTGGTTAATATGGCGTCTAACAAAAAAACTCACATGGAGTTCTCAACTGAATTCAGTGGAAACATTTTGAAGGTCGCATCCTGTTCTGCGTGAGCAGGTCTTAGTGTTTATTGATGGATAATCAAGCTCTTATGTGCTTATATAAAGCAATGTTCGCTCAAAATTAATTAGCCGATTTACCCGCTTTAGTCTAATGAAAAATTCAGATTCAATTCAGCATTAGCGACTGGCCTTTTCATAAACTTTCGCAAGATTTTCTTTACATTTTGCATACCTGCATAAATTTTTAATAACCGTAGAAAAATTTCATTAGCGTCCCAAGCTCAAAGAGTTCGGTGAGTGAAAGAAATCGTAAAATATCCAGTTGAATTTAATAAGAATCCCTGCCGTTCAGTAAAGTATTACATTAATTTATAAATTCCTGCCCAAAGTTGCGCTTCTTTCAATCGTCTTACAAACAATCTGGCAGCTTTCTCGCAAAAAATGCCTGTATCTGCACGTTGAAAAGGTTTTTTCAATCCCGATCTGCTGCACGTCCTTTGCCGAAGTTTCCTGCATCTAATCCAGCTACTTCGGGGTTAGTTTTGATTAAGCGAAATAGTTTAAATTCGATACTATAAATTGGCTCAAAGATATGTTTTCTCCGGCTGAAAGCTGAGCTGGCTGGCAGGCTTATTGCTCTGCTAGGTGCTTTATTTTAAAGTTTGCAAACTTAGCAATGATTTGGTTCTGATTGAGGGCTTTATACGATTCCGATCGCTGTGAACCTTTTAAACTGAATACGTGGTGCGAATCTATCATTTTTATGTGGCCCCAAGTAATGGAGGCGGTTGAAATTATTCCCGGCAGCTGCTGCAGCTCAATTTGCATGACAAACTCCCTCCAAATAAAATGCTTAAAATAAGTCTCGAAGGTATCGGCATCTGTCATTCCCCTTTTACGACCGGCCATATTCAACTTGTCACGAAGATTATATTCGAAAAAATGATGGCAATTTTTCGCGGCGGTTAATAAAATAAATCATCGGGAATTGCACGCAAAATAGCGCTCCTATCCATATGGCCATCCATAGATCGAACCTTTTGTTGCTATAGGAAATGGCCTCAATTCACGTGGAAATTGAATCATATTTTAGCTGAGTCGTTACTCATTTATCCAGGGCTTTTACTAATAAAAAAAAATGTACGGAAATTAGTTGGGGCCGTGGAAATTAAAGCTTGTCAATGCGTTCAATTTTTCAGCCTGGTAAAGCTGGAAACCCGATTATCTTTGAAATTCTTCCCGTTGCTTTTAGGAAATCTATTTGATCAACGTTGCAACTTAATGGATTTTGTTGAAGATAGTTTTGAGTTTGCAAGGTTTGTATGAAGCCAAAAAGTACAACGTTTGCTGATCAGTTAAAAAAAATCCATTCAACAACTGAAATCCCCAATATCTCTAGAGGTACATTTCCTCGATTTTCCTTCAGAATTTCAAAACTCTAGGCTTAACCACTTTTGGAGCAAAAAACCGACTATAAAACTGAACTTTGAAACATCGACCTTCTCCAGTCGTAAGAAGAGAAACTGAACTTAAACTTAAGTAACTCCAAAGTTAAATACCAAATTTGAAAAATTTCTGGGAAATTTTTCTGCCAAAGACAACAACGTGCTTTTTCGAAAGTACGTGAAGAAAACTCATCTTAATCGCTGTACAAAAATTCAACTCTGTAGCTTTTTCCAGATGGAGTGGGGAATTTTTTAAACAGAGTTTGCGGAATTGCCGCTTGCTCAACGCTAACGACCCAATTTGAAAAATGTTCAAAATTTTCCCTGCTAAGGTAGTAACGAACTTTTCTGCGCACAAGAAGATACTCTTTATATCTACTCTAGTAAAAAAATTCAACTCTCTAGCCCATTCCCTTTAGTAGTGCGCAATTTTTAAGGCAGAGTTTGTAGAATTTTTGCTGGCTCAAAGCCAAAGACCGAATTTTAAAATTTTTGAACAATTTTCCAGTAAAGGTAACAACGAGAGTTTTTGACCATAAGCGAAGACTGCTTGACTCCATTCTCGTGTAAGATTTCAACTCTCTAAGTCAACCTGGTTAAGAGTGCGCAATTTTTAAAACAGCCGGCTGTAGTCCCACTTGTCCAAAGTTAAATATCAAATTTAAAAATGTTTTCAAATATTTTGTGGTAACGATAATAACGTAATTTTTTGAATATACGCGAGGAAAACTTATCTTAATTGTTGTACAAAAATTCAACTCTGTAGCTTGTTCCAGATGGAGTGGGGAATTTTTGAAACAGAGTTTGCGGAATTGCCGCTTGCTCAACGCTAACGACCCAATTTGAAAAATTTTAAAAATGTTCTCTGCGAAGGTAATAAAGAGCTATTCCCTGCATACTAAGAGACACTTTATATCTACTCTAGTGCAAAACTGCAACTCTCTAGCTGTTTCCCGCTGGGAGTGTGGATTTTTTAAACCGGGTTTGCAGATTTGCTGCTTGCTCAACGCTCACGCAAATTTGAACATTTTCGAAAAATTTCCTTACGAAAATAATAAGAATTTTTCGAATATATGAAGAGTAACTTTATCTCTACTTCATTGCAAAAATTTAACTGTAGAGCTTTCCCTTAAAGAGAGCGGAATTTTTCAACAAGAAGTTGCCGAAAATCGCGCGTGCGAAGCAGACTGAATTAGACAATTTTTCAAAATCTTACCAGTGAGCTAATCAAAATGAACTTACACATATAAATAAAGACACTTTTTCCCTATATGTAGACAAAAATTCCGGCTCTTCTTTCTAAAGAGTTTCGAAACGTTCTACTACATTTTGCAGACGCTACCAATGAAAACAAAAAAGTTTCAAATTTTTGGAATTAGCTCAGCAGATTCCAGAAATCGATTCTGCGAACTTTCAACTCTGAAAACTCTCATAAATTGGGCAATTGCCTAATTTTCTGTAAAATTTGATCGAAAAATGCACAAAAAGCTTGAATGTGTCACAGTTCTAATAGCTTTTGCTCTGAATGAAACAATGTCTTCAAAACGAATCAACTTCGGCGTCCAGAAGGAAGTTTTCAAGTGTCCCTGTTCACTTATGAGAGCTTTAACTTGCCGCAAGTGAACCATTCACAGTATGCTAAAACTTACTCTGTTTTCTCTCCGTAGACATCAAATTCCTCAAATGTAATCTTGGCTAGTTCCTCAGGACCCGCAACGAAACTGTATAAAAGGCAATCGATGTTTGGGGAGTATGGCGTCGGGTAATCGGGACTTTTAAAGATTCCCGTTCCCTTCCCGTAAGTGGATGAAAAGACTAGGCATTGACAACCTGTAAAAAATAAGTTGCTTTCAGTATTGCGGGTAGCTGCAAAAGGAAACTTTCAGGGGGATTGAAAATGTTGCTTGTTAGGCTGAAAGGGGAATTAATGTGGCTTTGAGGTAATACTTTTGGTCAGTTTGGGTTTCGATCTCGACCAAAAAGGAAACCGATTTAGACGTTCACTTGTTAGACGGATTGAGCCGGCAATTTATTGGTTGCTTGGTCAGTGAAAAATCGCCTTGGACTTTCAACGGCCTTTTCAGTTAAAATTATTACGAAAATAATCGTTAAACTCTAACCGAAGTTGGCCGCTGATACTAAAGTGTTAATCTTAACTCCACCGAACATAAATCAAGTTTAACTGAAGCAAACAGTTTTTGATAATTAAGCCTTCAAGCCAGTTAAAGCTTCAATCTAACTCGATAAACTTCTGCATGGCGATTTGAATTTCAAATTTTATGGTAGTTTGATTAAGCTGTGAACGTTTTAATTTGCGATTTTCGCGATCTTTTCCGGCCTAATTAAAAGATTCAAATGCATTTTCAAAAAGCATTGAATCAGTCAGAAACCTAACAGTTCGCATCGGGCTGGATTGTCCCACATCTGCAGCCTTTTCCTACGTATAAAGCTGCAGTTTTATCTGCAAAATAAGCTTGTCCCGGAATCCTAAAATAATAAATTTTAATGGCGTCATCCACTTTAAAGATAAGCCAAAGTATCTCGTTACGTCCGTTTGTACGGAGTTGCGGTTAAATGCAAAAAGAGAACTGGCCGGATTAAAATGTAATGCTATATAGGTGCCATCTGATTTAATTAGAATTTAAAAAAACCGCGCAAAAAGATTCTATTTAATTCAACTGGAATGAAACTGAGCAAATGCCTGAAGGGCATCAAACTGACACGGTTTAGTGCATTTCCCATAATTGCACAGAACGTTTTTCTCCTCAAACAGCTGCATTCTCTCCTAGAGCTATCGATAGATGCAATAAAGTTTCATTTCCAATATACAATTCCCGACTAGACACTAAACCCCACCAGTCTAAATCGATCGTAATTTGCCAGCAATTAACAGCTCTCCTAAATTCCTCGACTCGTTATCTCCTCGAATTTTAATTACTTTGGAAACGATCTTTCCATTTTGCTTTAATTCAGACGTTCCTTTCATTTCACAGAGCCGCAGAACGTCGAGGATACGAAGGAAGGTAACGAGACAATTCGGCTTACTTTTTCAACTAGATTAGCTCCTTAAAAGTGTATTATTCCAGATGGAAATGATAATGGCATTTTTAGTGAAACTTTATTCGCTTGTTTTACAGTTTTTTTTCTCGGAAGAAACTCAATTTTCTTGAAAGAGCAACGGTTTTTCCTGCACGGTAATTTAATCGACTACAAGTACTCGCACGTCCTCGCAACTCCCAACTAAAGCTAAAGCATTTGAGGCAATTTCCAGCAAATTGAGCCAATCTACTTCTGTATCTTCCCAATATTTAGGTCTCTAGTTCTTCGTTTTTGGAAGTATTAAAGGTTTGAATTAAAGAAAAAAATAGTTTTTGGAGAAATCTCCGCTTGCTCAACGCCAACAACCAAATTTAAATTTTTTTGAAAATAACGAGCTTTTTCGCACATAAGGAGAGAAGCTGTATTCCTACACTAATGCAAAAATTCAACTTTCTAGCGCTTTTTCGTTAGGAGCGCGGAATTTTTCAAACAAGGCTTCCAAAAACGCCGCGCGTCCAAAGCTAAAGATCAAATTTAACAAATTATTAAAACTTTGCAGCCAACACAGTGAAGCTAATTTTTTCGTAGAAATATACACATTTGCCCTATTTGTGCACCAAAAATCAAGACTCCAGCTCTTCATGGAGAGGAATGCGAAATTTTTCAAACCGCGCTTGCAGAAACCCCGCAAATCTCGGCTTGGGTTAAGTTGAGTTAGATTGCTTTTGTCGAAAAAATGTTTTAGCAAAGATGATGCGCTTTTTCGAATATAAATCAACACGCTTTATCAATGTTTTCTTGTTATAAATTATCATATATTATTAAATTCAACTTTCACACTCTTTCTTGTTAAACTTGTTAGACTGGGAAACTCTAGCACTTTTTCTGTGGGACTGAAAATTTTTTCAAACAAAGGTTACATAAACGCCGCCCGTCTAAAGGTAAAACCCGACATTAACAACTGTTGCGAAGATTTCTAGAAAGCTCAATAGAGAGATTTTTGCAGTGTAAAGGAACAGATATTTTCTCAATCTGCAGAAAAAATCAAATCTCCATCACCGCGTTTCTAAAATTGCGGAGTTCTTCAATTAGAGTTTGCAGAAATGTCGCATGTCTAAAGCTAAAGATCGATTTCAACACAATTTGAGAATATTTTGAATCGAATGCAACAAAACTGGCTTTTAAATATAAGCAAACACGTATATTCCCTCTATGTAAACGACAATTTGAGACTCTCGATCCTTGCGTTTAGTAGTGGGCAAGTTTTGAAACAAAGCTAGTGGAAATCCCCCGGCGTCTAAAGCTAAAAATCGGATTTAACATTTTTCTAAATTTAAAAAAAAACAAAGATCTTCTTAGCTTTACGAGAAAATTTCAGGTCTCGATCTCTTTTTGTTTAGCAGTGCGAAAATTTTCAAATTGCACTTTTGAAGCACTGCGCGTCCAAAACTGAAGACCAATTTTATTAAATTGAAAAAACCATTTTCAGCCAAACCGTTCAAGCTGGTCGTTTGTAAGCCTACGGCATTTTTTAAGCAGATTTTGTACAAATGCTGCACTTCTTATTCTAATGACCGATTTAAACCAATTTTCCAAAATTTTCCAATTAAGCTACCGAAACCAGTTTTTGACTCGGAAGAATTACATATTTTTGCTCGGAAATCGCCCGAAAAAATTGGAATTGGAATGTTTGGATAATGGGGCGAAAGCTGAAAATCGAATTTAACAATCTTTTTAAAAATTCGTCCAGAAAATCCAACTTTACAGTATGAAAAAATACACATGTTCTCACCTTTGCGTGAAAATTTCAAGCTTCGATCTCTCCTCAAAAAAAGTCTCAAATTGAGCTTGCAGAAGCGCCGCGCGCCCAAAGTTAAAGGCCAACTTTAGCAAATAAAAAAAACATTTCAAATTCACAATTTTTCCTGCTTTAGGAAAAAATTGAATTCTTTAGATCTTTGTCTGTACGACTGCGGGTTTTTTGAAGCCGAGCTGAAAAAGCAATTTTAACAATTTTTCAAAAATTTCTCAGCCCAGCTACCAAAGCCAGTTTTTATTAGTAATAAATACACACTTTTTCTGCCTTCAAAACTTCGATTTTCCAGCTTCGCCCCTATAGAAGTTTTAAAATTTTGAAACAGAGCTTGCAGAAGGAAAAACGGTTTTCTAGCAAAGTGATTTAATCATTCGTGCTTCCAACTCCAAATGGAGATATTTCGAAAACCGATGGAAATTCGGGCGCATTTATGAAAATCACTTGAAATTAGTCCAAAGATTCTCAGGCGAAGGGTTTAGGATGCTTGGCCAGCCACTCTGGATAATGGAGCAAATTCTCCATACCCATGCGAGTATTTCTGTGCAGATTTTCCATTCAGGTTCCAATTTTGTATTTTTTTATTATTTTCTACTGCCAATGTCTTTGAATCATTGCGTAAACCAGCAAATATTAATTGGCAACAACAGCGGCTTTTGTGCATGTTTTATTCATTATTCGGCTTCCTCTCGGTACTTTTAAGACGCTGTCTTTTGAATAAAATTGCTAAAATCAGGGCTGTTATGCAAATTGGTACATTTTGCATTTGCTACTTAATTCGTCAAAAATCAATTGGTCCCGGTTGCGACTTCAGGTCTACGAAACAAAAACAAAGCATTGTTTTGAATTTTTCATCTGCCCATTTGCATCGTTGCCCGAAATAATGAACCGTCTCATTTGAATTTCCATTTATCAGCTAACATGCGGAATATTCAAAATCTCCCTAACAACTCCCAAATCAATATCGGGGTATCCGAAACATTCGCCAATCTTGTATATGGCATTAGCCTCCTCCTAACTGGGTCAACGTTTATTTTCACTTTGGACTCCATGTAATTGCGGATTAGTTTATCTAGAAATTTGTTTTTCGATTTGAGTTTAATTGCCCTGCTGGGATCAAGCTTGATCGGGCTGGAGTAATTGAAGCGTAAATAAAACGAAACCGCTACGTTTCTAAAGATCGAAATGTTCCTACAAACGGGGGTTCTTTACTTTTTAACCAGTTGTTCAATAATTTCACAATCAAGCAAATCGCAATTTTTTTGGAACTCTGTGGTATACAAAATTGAAATAATTTAAGCGCTGCATGTATCAAGTGGGAACGCAGCAACGCACATAGCACGGCGCTACTCCTATTGACTCCCATGTGTGCGAGTGAGATTACCGACGCCGGTTACGTTCCAGAATGGAACAAGGAGCTTCATTTAATTGACTTGAGTTACAGTGTTTCCAGCTGATTCCTGAAGCGAAATTTGTTCAAATTCCCTTTAACCCTTGGGCAGGTAATTAAACAACGTACATTTCCTTGGGAAAATCAGCAATAAAAAGCAGGATGTTCTGGGCGTTTGTGACCTTTCTGCCTTTAGTGGACCCACCCATTCATGGCAAGTGAAAAGTCGAAAAGGAAAATACATGGCCGAAAGGGCGAAAGTAAATAAAATTGAAATTAGTTTCCTGAAGCGGAGTTATTCGGCAGCAAATGTACACGTGTTTAGGAAAAACCCGATTCGAAAAACAATCGAGCCGAATTCCCTTAATTGATCTGCCAACCAAAGTAACTGTTTCACAAATTGAACCGGCTGAAAAACGGATACATTGGAAAGAGGAGTGGGAAAAGCTTATTTCCTAAATAGAAAAATTTGATCGATCACCGGCCTTTCATTAGTGACGCTCGGAATGCATGCTTTTTGCAAGTAAACTGAAACAAACGGGCTGCAAAAAAATCGGGAATCGCGTTTAATAAACAGTCTTTCCGGTG